TTAAAATTAATTATTTGTTTGGGAGCTTTGATCTATATTTTAGATCATACCAGCTCCACCTTAGCCAAACCTAATTTACAAAATCAGCTTAATATTAGAATTGCAAAATTCATACTCCACACACCACACAGTTTCGGGATTCTATTTTCTTTAGATTTTTTACTTGTAACCCGTTGCTTTGGTGAAGACTATAGTTTTTGTTCTTGGGCCTGAATTATACATATTAAACGCTCCACGAAAAGCTAAAGTGATAGTGAACGCCACATGTTTTTTTTTTATGTTTTTGATATACACACATGATAATTTGCAAACATAATATATAGGCTCCTTTTTTTTGAATCTGTTTTTAATTGTGGGTTACCTATAATGCGAAGAGATAGCGCTGCCTTGCAGCTTAAGAATAGCTGGAAGAATTTTGACGCGGTCCGTGTGGGCCGCGGTAGCATAATTGGTCAGTGCATTCGCCCGGATTGCAAAGGGTGCGGGTTCGAGTCCCGTCTGCTGCCTGGTCCGCGTGGAATTTTTTCTAGTTATATTTTCTTTAGATCAGTTTTTAAATTCAAACTTTAAAAAGCTCCGCTGTACAATTGGCCAAATGGCGGTACATTTAGTTTTCCTTACCACCGTACATTATAGACAAACAGACGTAATGGAAGACTATGTTATATAATACAAGAATCTAGAAAAAAAAATGTGTAAAGAAGTCCCTAAATATGTGGTTAGACACACACATTAAAGATGCAATCGATGCATTACCTAATTGTGAAAGCTTCTTAACCCGTCCATCCCGATTCAATTCAAATCGTTATCGTAAAAGCGAACCTTTGTAGCGGCTTAACCGGTAATCCGAAAAAGCAGCTATTCTCTAATTGCAGCGAACTCATAAAGCACTACCTATAAAGAGTAAGCGGTCGGATTCAAAATAATGTGTTTAACATTTTCGTAGCGTCGGTATCTGCGACATAAAACGGTCTGTAATTTATTCTATTGCTGAAAGGGTTGGGTAGAGGGTGGGAATTACCCAAGGTGGGTGCTAAAGGGTTAAGCCGAATATACGGGGTCGCGGCGCTGGCAAACTTCGTTAATTTATGCGCTTAAAAATGTCAACTGGAAATTATGACGCCGAAACACATTTCCTATATATTTCCAAAATGGTTTTGTAATCATACAGCCCCGCTTTTGTGTATGATACTTTAAAAATAGGAATAATGGGCTTTGTTTTATTTTCCAGTAATGTGATTATAGATAAACACCACCTTAGGCTTAAGGCTGTATATCGCTTGCGGGTTTGGGAGGGTATCAAAGGCGCTAAAGCCAGATATTTACTTAAGTATAAAATATACTCATACACCCACAATTGGCATTGACAAACAATGAGATAGTTTTCCGGCCTCAGTGGGTATTAATCAAAATATTGAGTGAGTGAGTTTATTGTTTTAAACTTTCATGGACACTAACATTAAAACAATTTATGTTATTTACTCGCTAAAAACAAGGTACATGGTAACACTCCCGTAAATAACATAAATTAATAACATAGCGTCACTAAGCGCGTTCTATCATTTGTACCACGGCGAGTGTTCGGAGGAGTTATTCTCTCTTATTCCACCTCCCCTTTCCTTCAGAGGACCACGCGCGCTGACTTACGTTCTCAACGTCTAACTGTGGCCACAATTCCAAAGCGTACAAAGAATTTTGGTGACTCATGTCTTTGTCGCACTATCCGTAAATGGAATACTCTGCCCGCTCACGTGTTCCCTCCCTCTTACAACCTGGGATCCTTTAAAAGAGGCGTGAAGAAGCAACATGCGGGCCGGCACGGTGAGGATGGCTGGTGTGGCAGGTAGAACTACTGTATCAGCTATCTTGCTATCTTCGCGTCTGGCAATCACCGCACAGCAGCACCATCACTTAACATCAGGTTGGGTGGAGTCATTTGTCGGACCTATATATAAAAAAACTAATATGAGTGAATTTAGATCTAGTAAACGGTTATTATTGATATAATTTATTTAAAAGTACACGCTGAGCGATTAGTGGATAACAGTTTGATCCATCTTTGTTTTAGGGTTACGTAGCCAAAGGTTGGCAAAGGAAAGCTATTGCTAACACTCAGCTTTTCTTCTATCTGTTCGTCTGTACCTTATGTCATACAATGAATGAACAATAATAGGTAGTCAGGTGACATTGTATCAGAACATCTATTTCTAAGGCTGCTGCAATAACAAAATTAAGGGTTAAAAAACTTTATTTTTTCGATCACAACAATAGCGGTGATTCAAAATTCAAGTTTTAAATCTTGATGAGTGGTACGGAAACCTTTGCACCCGACTTAGACAGCCGTTTTCCTTCCACATTATTTTTTTATTTTGTTTTTACTAAAATATTGTCTGTTTTACATTTTCTCTTATAAAAAGGTATGTATTTTGTTTTTACTTAAATATTGTCTTTTTTACATTTTTTCTTATAAAAAGGTATGTACGCAAGACGCCCACCCGCGCACCTCGTTTCCCCCCAAGACATCTTAATTTTTACTTCTGCGCAATAACTGTCAGCGCTAGAGTTTCGTGCCGCGACATAAACGAACTTAAAAAAGCCCCAAGTAAAATTCATGCAACTAGTAAAGGTTTGAAATTATCGTCAATTTAAAAAAAATAAATAAAAATCAATTGTGCTTATTACAGTGTAGTACCTTTTCTTATGTTAAAAGGGAGGCATAAAGTATATGACCCGCCTGATGGTAAGCGGCACCATAGCCTGAAGACGCTTACGATATCAAATATATAACTAGCGCCGTTGCCTACCCTTAGCGGTGATGACGGGGTACAGTAAACGAAATTCTATTTATTCCTTCAGTTAGATGATCAAAAAATAATGGACACTTCTTTTTTCTTTAGGCAATCAACCAAATAATTAAAAAGTTATAGCGCGTCAAAGTTTGGGAGTTGGGGCTCATGACGTCACTTTTAAGTGAAAATTGTACCAAAACGTGACGTTATGTGACTTTTGAAATCAATATATCTCTGCAATGTTTATATTAGGTGAAAAAAGAAAAAATACGTGTCCAATACTTCTTGATAATCTACCTGATAAACAAAGAAAAAAAATAGTCATCATCCCTATCCCCTACCCCGTGTAGCCCTGGGACCTTACTCACCGATAGAAACACAACACTATCAAAAGGTAGTGTTATTATACTGTGGTCTTCTGTAAGGTGGAGTTTACTATGCTCTATTTCTAAAACATTACAATGTTAAAATTGTTCAAAAGTTCAAAACCGCTCAACATGTTACTGAGACTTTTTTGACACATTACACATGAGAATGTCAAAATTGATGAACTTTGAAACACCAATCTCCACGCCTCCGTGACGTAGACAACATGGATCCTAACATTGGAAAACTCAACACAAACAATTGAGGAGTGCCGTGAGAGATAAGGCGGGGGCTTACAGGGGCGAGAATCACTCATTATTTAAATATTCTAATGACTGCGCTAAGCGTCCCGGGTAAGTGGAGCGTTAGGTGATAAGTGTGCTATTGTTTTGTAGATTGGTTTCGATGGAAGTGGGTTAAGGATTATGGCTGCGGAAACTCTGTTCGAATAGGGAGCGAGACGAATGAATATATTGAATTTAATCTATTAAAGTACTTATATAATTTACTAAAAATAACAACTTAGCCCCGGATCAATCACCAACTGCGGCGACTATCCGGCTTTTACCCTAAATTATTCTTTACATTTTTTCCGATCTGTGTGGAAAAAGACATTCATACGGCATACATACCATAACTTAGCGTTTTAAATACTACTAAAGAGCTAGGATAGAAAGAGGAGCCTATTAACGTCCCCACTACTGGGGCACAGGTCTTCCCTATTGATGGAATAGGGAGATTGATCCATGACCTACCACGCGGGCCCAGTGCAGATTAGTGTGTGCTAACTACTGCAGATATAGCTGGAACCACCAGCTTAGCGTGCCTTCTGAAGCACGGAGGAGCTGGAGATAGAAAATTTTTGGACACCCATCCGATGACCGATCACTGCGTTGTTGTTGAAAGTTGCTTTACTTCAACGAACCCAGCCGAACGCGCTTACCACTTGTGCCATCGAACTCCTCAGTAAATTTAAGTATTTTTTTTTAAGTAAATGCAATACAGTCACATACCTATCTTAAATATATACACCCGGTTTAGTGTCTGCTACAATTTGTCGTTAGGTAGTTGAAGACGACATTTTGCGAATGGAACGAAGTGGCCATCACAGTCAAATAAACATTTGCGATACCAGGGCCACGGAATATCGTAGGGCATTGCCTACCGTACCCCAAGCACAAACAACTAGCGAAAAAGTATTCGTATCGTTATGTCAGTTTCTATGGAAAAAACTTTGACGTTGGCGATACGAATACGTACTCGTATGTTGTCAAAGTTTATGCTTCGCTTACCCTGTCCAGTTTAGGCGACTTCACTCACAACTGGAAAACAACTCTCAGAAGCACAAAGAAACGAATAAAGTTTCGCATCTTTTTATACTTTTCTTTCACATTGCAAGCGCCGTTTATCATTAAAAAGTACTAATGTGGCATGTTACTTGCGTTTTAATAATGCTATTTAAGCCCGATTGGATAAAGGTATAATGCATTTACCTATTTATATGAATTCGGTTTCATAGCGATACGATACCAGTATGGTTCTGAGAGCGTACAATTAGAATCGAGGTGTATCGTGTCGTGAACTTCATGTCTTGTCCTACTATATGGCTTTAAAAACCTTGCAAGTTAGAGGAGGATGGATTATGACGATCACGATATATCGAAAGACTACTTTAAGAGTACATGCGCTGATTAGGAGTGCAATACTGCATGAGATTAAACATAAAGAACACTGAACGGCTCGATCTGAGGCGCTGCTGATGGATGCCTTACCTTTACAATTAATTTCTCCTGTAAAGCATAGCATATTGTCTGGCCGTAGCTCATTTTCTTTTTCATCCGGCAGGCATAGCGCACCAGCTAGCAGGACTTCCTGGCAGCGAGTGGGGGGCACTGGCGAGACATTACCCGCCACCATTGCTGCCCTCTCACGCACACTTCACTCCACACGTGTTGCCACCAGCTCATGCTCAGCCACCTGTACCACCGCCGCCACATGAAACAGGTCAGATTATTTTATTATGTGTAGTACCAATTGACAAGAAAAGAATTTCTCGCGGAATCAGATGCGCTGGCTAGGCATACACGCTTCCGTTTCTGCTCTCTTAGTGCAGTCATTGAAGCGAAAAATACGGTCTTACCTCCGAAATTTTTAACTGTGAACCGATTTGCATGAAATTTTGGAATTAGGCTCATCTTACCCTTCAAAGTGAAAATGATCTGAACTCCGCCTATTATTCTAAGGGGTGTAATATTGAAATATAATAATTACCCCTTAGTGGAAAAATTGATATTGAGCCATTTTATCGCTAGAAAACATGTCTATTAAAATCATTTTCAACCCCTTGAAAATCTTATAACCCTTGCAAACAACCCCTAAATTGAAAAAATCACAAAAAATACTTTGGTATGTCATAAAAAAATGTAAGTATAGAGTAAGTAATATATTATATTCTCTATAATAATTATCTAATTTTTAACCCCCTTTCAACCCTTGAATACTACCCCTTGATAATAAATGTTAAAAATTTTTTTTTGATAAAATGAAAAGGATTTAAATATTATTCCACACTCTCGAAAATGATTATCATATCCTTAAGCTTTTCTACCCTTAAAACTACTCCTAAATTAAAACAGTATATGTATATATGTATTTACATATGATTACATATTTAAAAATAATTTAATTTAGAGTAAAAAATTGCCATTTATTGAATAAAATATTTACAAATTATATGAAATTGTACTATTATTATTAAAATATTATTATTCATGACTCAATGTCGGAGTCGCTGTCACATTCAACATCTTCTGACTGAATTGGAGGGCTATTTTTGCAGTTATCTCCACTGCACGTTCCACAGGTACTATTACAAAACAGATCAACTTTTCTGCATCCGCAAGACGCTCCACATCCTTTTTTGCAGTTGAAAATAATCATTTTCAGCAGTTCTTGTGGTGCGGGTGGATCTACAGACTTAAGTGGATTTAATAAACCGTCATTCATGACCCACCCCCAATTCGTTGGATGAATGTTTTTGTTGCCAAGCCAAATCTGGGTTTGAAGATAAACCCAAGAGGGTTACTAAGAAGTATGCTCATTTATGGCACCAACGGTTGGAACTAAGGATAATAATTTTACGGCTGTGTTTTTCGTAGCAACTTTGAGAAAACTTTCATAGCGCATCTTTTCGAGATATTCTGATAAGCTTTCTACTCGACTCAGCTTATTTTGTTGTGTATCTTTAGCAAGTCCATAAAAACATACCATGCAATATCTACCTGCCTCTAAAATATCTTCGAGTTCAGATGTATTATTCAAAAATATCTCTGCCTTACTTCTCAAATCTTGCCTTCGTTCCAAAAGATCCATAAATTTTTTTTTGCCTTTATTATATGCCGTCGAAGTAGAGTCACACATATAAGAACGTTGGTATGTATTCATGCCTACGTTTCCAAAATATATGAGCCATATTATGTATATATATATATATATATATATATATACATATTACAATAGTTGTGGGTCTCTATTATACGGCGTACACATCCAAATATTCACACTCCGAAATTTTCAGTTACTAAGTAGAAAAAAATATGATAAGTTTTTGGATCATAACTCCTTCAATTTTCATGCTATCACAATTTATAAAAAACCATTGTAAAAATATTGTAAAGGTAATTAAGAGAGCTACAACATCCTTCATTGCAATATATAGTAAAAAACCTTTTTCTAGAAAGGTTAAAGGGCTTAAGAGAGGCTGTGATTGCGCTGCCACGCGCTCTTTAAACAATCATATCTCCATAAAATTTTGTTTGACAGAAAAAAAAACCAGATTGATTGTCAGAAAAATACCTAAATTTTTAATTCGTACACTTTTATACGTATCTGTCGTCATTTTTGAGATATTATGAAAAAAAAGTGGGTTTTTTAAAAATTTCAAATTTTGTTTTTTTTAATCGTGACTTTTTTGAAAAATATGTGTCCTGAAGCAGCCAAACTGATACTATCTATCAAACTCTTCATAATAAAATTAATTGTAGGCGGAATACGATTAATTTTAATTTTGGTGGAAATGGCACTTATGAAACCCATTGATTTAAAAGAAAAAACATTAGATACACCCCTTATTTGCAATACAGCTCACTTATTTTACGTGCAAAAGACTTTTAATAATGCTCATTTTAAAGCTTATTTCAAGCACTACAAAACCTTTTTGTATTAGAATGCATAAAATGCATCTGCTCGCCGCAAGATGGCATTGACCACATCGATTAAATTTCAGACAAAATAAAAAACGGCTTTGATCTTTAATATCTAGCTTAATATTGCATTTAGAATACTTTGTAAAACCAAATTGTTCATTGTTTTACCTGCTACAATTTTGTTCTTTATAAAATTTTCGATAAAACGTATATTTTTGGAGATATTTGCAAAAAACCGATGAAAAACGTGAAAAAATTGCGAATTTTCAATTGCCAATAACTTGAAAAGTATTGGATTTTTCGAAAAACTTCATAGATGATTTTTTGCTTAAAATTAAGCCTTCCATCGATATTCGAGGTTATTTTGAAAAAAAGTCACCCCCGAGAAGGGGTGGCAACCACCCTCAGGGTGGTTGTGGAGTTCAAATCATTTTCACTTTTGAAGTTAAGGGTAAGATGAACCTAATTCAAAAGTTGTATGCAATTCGGTTCACAGTGAAAAAAATCGGAGCAATAATGCTTCAATGACTACACCGTGCTGCCACCGACTCATGCTCAGCCACCTGCAACACCGCAGCTACAAGAAACTGGTCAGATTATTTTATTTTGTGTAGTACCAATTGAAAGGAATTCCCCGCGGAATCAGATGCACTTCCGTTGTTGCCCTCGTAGGCATACTCACGCCACACGTGTTCCCACCAGATCATGCTTACCCATCTGTATCACTGCCGCCACACGAAACAGGTGAGATAAATTTATTTTATGAAGGACTAATTGTCAGGAATTCCTCGCGGAATCAGATGCACCGGCTAGGTACTACCCACTTCCCATGCTGACCTTGCACGCCAGTTTCACTCCACACGTGTTACTACCGGCTCATGCTTAGCCACCTGTACCACTGCCGCCACTTGAAACAGGTCAGGTTTTTTATTTTAAGTATTACCAGTTGACAGGAATTTCCTCAGGAGTTTTTTGTTGATAAATAATTTGTTCAATATTTTCTTTCACAGCATATTTTTCCCTGTGATATATCCAAATATAATCGTTAACGTGACGAGAGGCTTGACTAAAATACATTTTTTTGTGCAGATGTAACATCGGAGACTCCGACGACGATGCACGCCCACAGCACCACCAGCCCGGCTACCTCCCGTCCTGGCTCGCCGCAGGACGATGACATATCCGTCACTGCGTCCAGCAGCCCTCCTCCCGACGACCGCCCCGGAGCATTCACGTCCGTCGCGAAACCAAGGAAGCCCTTACAACCACTCCCACCACCGTCCAGTCTGTTCCATAGCGCTTTAGCAGCGCAACTATTTCTCAACTCTCCCCTTTTACCCACCCCACCCGCCTGGTTGTATTCACAGCTATACGGAGGTTACGATTGGTGGTTGAGGCCTCCGCCGCCGCAAGAAGACTCTAGTTCTAGTCCGGACAGAGAAGAAGAAGGTTCTACACCTTCAGGCGCTGGCAAAAAGCGGTCAGCTTCACCAGAATGGACTGACCAAGGAGTCAGAACTCGCAGCAAATCGCTGATCACGTCGGAGAGGCGACCAGTTGACGTGTGGCGCCCGTACTAATTAAAACTTTTCGCGATACGAAAGTCAGTTAAAAGTTAATTGTGTACTGTGTTCGGATTATTGGTGTTCCGGGTATGTGACATTTATTGTGAAATGGATTTTAGAGATACGTCGCTCGGTGCGCACGGTGATGTTGGCTGACGTTCTTTGTAAATTATAAAGGTACCAAGGTATTTCTTTACAAGTAAACTCTATGGATGTAAATGTAGCCTAGTGGATTGGAAAGTGGCGTGAAAATGTGCAATATTGTATTAACTCGACATTTGGACTTCGTGCCATGTAGACTGGAAATAAATCGGATACGAATTTAAGTTAGTTATAAATGTCGATAGCTGTTTTTACGTTAGATAAATGAATGTGAACTTCAAATGGTAATGTTTAAAGAAATTGTTGACTGTATTATAAGATAATGCAAAGTCTGTAAATAAAGTTATCGAAATTTTTCATTTGTTGTTTCAGTATGTATTCCTAAATTTGTTTACAATTATACAAATAATTTTTGTTCGCGATCAGTTGAATCGTATCTACACATACGTTGTAATTCCAAATCATTTTAACTTTCAGTCATTAGACGGTGGCAGTTCGTTTTTGTTTTATGCATTCCCAATCTAAACTTATTTTATAAAACCTACTAAAACGGTGCCAACACTGGGTCGTTTTATTAATATAAATTTTATTAATGGCACTGGCAATATGCCCTGACTCATTAATGAAGATAATAATTGCAGATTTTTTTAACAGGCTTGTGCTTACTGCTTACGTATTGTATAACCAAAGTTGTATTAAATAACAGAGCCGTCTACAGCGAGCTGACGTTAGGTGCATATCGCATTTGTTATTGCGATATCTTGTTTTTGTTATACATTTTGTACGAGAATGGCTACGAAGTTACACACAGCTGCGAAAATAACGATGCAATAGAAGTATGACGAAATATCGCAATAACGCATCCGATATTATCGATCGATAATAACGCACCTTAGGGCTGGAGGCTTTATGATTGTGATACGCACTAGTTTTATTTAGGGGATGATCTAACCATAATTTAAAAAAACATTAATAATAACCATTATTTTAAAAAGGCGGAAAGGAGTTGAGGGCCTTGATGGCGAAGGTGGATAGCGCGTTCGAGTTGTTATCATGGAAGTTAAGCAACTTTCGCAATGGTCGGTCATTGGATGGTGTCCAAAAATTTTCTATCTCCAGCTCCTCCGTGCTTCAGAAGGCACGTTAAGCCGTTGGTATCGGCTGCATTTGCAGTTGTTAGAAATAATCCGCCTTGGGCTCGCGTGGTGGGCCATGTCCAAGTCTCCCTACTACTCCATCCATAGGATAGGCCTGTGCCTCATAAGTGAGGACATTAATAGGCTGATGATTACGTAATATCAGTTCTCTAGAATAAAAAAAATACGCTACCTATTGTAGTGCTTGTCGTCGGTAGAGTTGAAAACTAACCTGTTTAAAGAACGCACTGTATCATATTATGTGTAGCCACTTTGACGATTGTAAAATATTTTATCGGTGGGCTTTAAAGCCGTTTTGTATACATAAATTACTTATTAGTTTAGTTTCAATATCAAATGAAAACCAAACATTGTTTTTGTTTACCATAATGATTTTATTAAAAGTTACAAAATTACATGATTACTGTCAGTCTTGTCCTAATAAAATAAAATTATAATTAGAGTACACATTACAAATAGCATTGAGAATTTAATCTAAAATAAATTGGTTATTTCGGGCATACACACGCGCCGCTACTTTTACACCTCCTGTCAATGAAATCCATCAGCCTCATGACCCCGTAGTACACTTCTGTGGCAGTGGATACTATCTCTTCTTTGGGCAGAAGGAACCTGTGTTTCTTCGCCCTAAGTTCTATCATGTAGGAGTATGGTATGTTAGCGACAGCGTAGCTCCAGTCGATGCTGTTGCCAGATGCGTAGTACATCAAGTCTTTAGTGCTGCCCACTTTGTAAGTGCGACCGCTGGAACCGTGGATTGCCTACGGAATGAAAGATTTCATTAGTTCTATGAGTTCACTGTAAAATACTCACTACATAACATTTTAAATATCTTGTGTGTTTAATATAGTACCTACAGTACTGTGTCATTCACAGAAAAAAAGTTAAAGTATATGTAATTAAGTTATAAACAATATTATAAGAGCTAGACAAAAAGCGAATGGAAAACCAAAAATGCTACACCTTTTTACTTTCTTATTTTGTAAAGAATATTAAAAGCCTATCGTTGGACAATGAATGGATATTTGGGAATAAATAAGCGATTAAGTTGCGACAATTTATGAAAAAGAAATAGGCTCAACCGATTTCAAACTCGAGATCATTTATGTATATTATTTTTCTCAGACATGCTGGGAAATGTAAGCATCATTTTGACAACTTGCTTCGAGATAAATCGATATTGCTGTGCTTTGCCACATACATACGATTAGCGGCCGGTAAAGGTTGTATGATAATATATATCTGTCGGGTTTAGAGGCCAAATAAATTAGATAGTAAACTTATGTAGTGTTATTAAAAAATGGAACGATCTATTACACAAAAATATTGCAACCATGGAGGTAACTGTAAAGGAGGTTATTTAAAGATTTTATTTTAGATTTGAACTGGATTTCAAAATAGAAAGCTGGAAAGAAAAAAATAACCCCAAGAACTCTTAAAATTCATTCACTCTTAAATGCTATTGATGCTAGAATTTCGGGAGTTCCACCTATATGGCCGCTGCAGTAATGTACATGTAGTAGTAAATGTACTATTTTTGTTAGACTTTCATTTTATACCTTAGCTATTGCAGTGCCTCCTTCCAGTAGCTCCACGTAGTCAGGACAGGGGTCAGCAGTATATCCCCATGGGAATATGATCACCTCGCCGTAACTATGGAATGACAGGAACGCTTTGAACGTTGTCTCCGACTCCAGTATAGTTTTCTGAAAAAGGTAGTGTTTTGTTTTTGTGCAATGGTTCGAAATTAGCGCAGATTTTTTAAAATATCGTCGAAATAGAAATAATGTTGAAGAAGTAATATACAACACCTTTTCTGCGCGAAGTACTACAGCGAATTTAATTCAAGCGCTAATGTTTACTGTTAAAAAAATAATATCCTCCAATGGAATAGTTTGGAACCAACAAATTAATAGGTATTTCTAAAAAATACCAATCCCAATTAAGAGGGATAAATGTTTCAAATATCATTAGAAATATATTTTATAATAGGAAAAATATCTCTTTCAAATGAAACTCCGGAAGATCAGAGATGTTGACGAATATGGGTTACCTTTACAGCCAATGTTTCTGGCTCTGAAAATGGCTTCGGACCTCTGTAGAAGATATTCCCAGGATCTTCTGATGAACCTTCCTCTCCCTTCTCACCCCAACCATAGCTAAAATGTCATTGAATGTTTAGGCAATGCATAATAAATCCTAAACTAAATAATATAAAATAAAAGGATATGTTGTGCACAGAGAGTGAAACAAAAAAAAAATTTTAAAACATGAAAGAATATTTGAACATTACTAATTCTAAATTTAAATTCTTCTCACCTTTACGTTTTCAGGGAAAATATGCTCTGAATGTTTGATACTTATAAAAAAGTCTGTTAACATTAGAAACTTGTAATAAAGTTGCGTTATTAAGTTAATTTAAATCACAAATACATTTGCTTGCTAATTTTTGTTGTTGTAATCTTTCTTTTTAGCATTTACTAGAAAAAAACTAAATATAAAAGAGATTACTGAACCGAAGTGGTTTTAGAAACGATTACTACGTTAGCTTAACAGAATCGATTGCCAGATTAGTTACCCCGAAGTCTGTGAATTATAAAAGGCCATCATCATCAGCCTATTTAAGTGCCCACGCTGATGGAATAGGGAGATTGGGCCATGACCTACATTGCGAAAGTAGCCTAACTTCCACGAAGGTAGGCCGCACGAGCTCCTCAAATAAAGGTCACCTACCTGAAATTTCTGTTCAGGTCCACTCCTACGCACTCGCCGTACTTTGCCCGATTCTTACGCCACATTCGATCGTGCGTATGTGTGTACTCGTATCCGTCTGGGTTCAACACTGGCAGTATGTACCTGGAAGAAAAGTAAATAGTTGAAACCAAGGACTAAATTATTAATTTTTCATAAAAAATAAAAGCAAGTACCGATGAAGTTTTTCAAAAAATCAATCAATAATAAATATGGGAATTGGGTAGCCTAGATTTTGTTGAATTAATTGGGTATATTATTTTACAGATACGTAGAGTATCACATATGGGACAGCAGGCATGACAAGAGAAATTAATCACAGTATCATAATCGAACGAATACCTAAATAAAAACTCTACAGTTTTTTGTTAGACACCGCACTCGCGCATAATCTATTTAAGGTGTATAATTAAACTCTACAGAGCTTACGATAGAAACTTCACCCGACAATGTACGGATATTGTACCAAGGATGTTGTTTTATTTACCAGTCTTTATTGGTGACGCTGTCCGGTTGTTCGTGGAAGGTGCGCACGAGGTTGTTCGCGATGAAAGTGACCACGGCGGTGCTGATCCATTCTCGAGGGTGAATGGCTCCGTCCAACCACACGCCGGAATTTCCGTTCTTACCGTTGGACACTTTCAATAACTGAAATAGAATTTTTATATGTAAAAATATGAGAAGCTATACATATGCCCCAACTCGTTGATAAGCGGTCACCACAAAACTATTTATCATCATTATACCACATTGGTTGTGTATTTATACGTTTAATCAAGTATCCAGCCTCAGGCATAGTGTCTACAATAGCTTACAAAACTGGCTTGTTCACAGATTTTACTTTATGTGAGGAAATGTTGCTTCTGTGTAAAAAAATCTTCATGCATGATAATCTTTTTGCTTTCGTTGACAGCTGTAATACAGCTGTCAACGATTACCTCTTAATATCAGAAAATCAATGAATGCATCCACTAATTGTTTCGAGGGAACACTTGTAAATTGGAGTGAAAATAAATAACTTTATTATTATTAAAATCATAAACAAAAATTGCTTATCAACAATTGAAGTTCTGGTATGATAAAGTAAGATAAGGGGATGTTAAGGAGAAAAAATCTCTTACCCGTATATCGCGCCCTTCAGCAGACTGTCCAATAACTTTAATAGTGCACAAATACGGAAATTCGGCAGCCAGATTGTCCATGAAATTGTAGATAGCGCTCAATCTGTAGTAATTTTTCCAGTCCATCCCATAACCTGTAAGGTATCCCATAGTTTGGAGACAAAGTAAAACAACAACTACACTCGACAAAATCAGACTGGAGACTAAAATGTAAAATATTTATGACAGGAGGCACTCAGTAATGATAAGGTGCTTAGGATCTATATGGCTAATGGTCCATCTTTAGTCGTCTTTACGTAGGTGAGTCACTAATCTTCAATGGCACCCATTAGAACGAAAACGGGTACTTAGCATTAACGAATTAGCGGGTTATTTCGTATTATTAGTCTTAAATAAAGATCGTTATCATGATGACTACTAATGAAGTTTCATTTTAGAATAGGGATATATTTAGATAGATATTATTTATTTGTAGAGATGTTCTCAAATGTTTAATTTAAGATTCCAAACCTACCTTTATTAAGTACACGTTTCCTTGGAATATTTTTCCGGTAGGCCTTGAACCCTACAATTTTCAAAGAATGAATTGAAATAATTTAGAAATTATCCAAAAATAATAAATTTGTCGTTGAATCAAAGCTTGCACAGTTAATACACTAATTGACGTAGAGCTTAAAATATTAAGGATTTATCACCTTGTCGTATATAAGTAAACAAGGAGAAGTGAGGGATTTCTTAAATAAATAGAAACAGAGCATAAGTTTTTTCAAGCAATCACATACATTAATCGTAGTACACGTCAGTCAGTCATATTTTCCATTAGTGTTGCCGAACTATCGATATTAAAACTATCGACAGTTTACATCGAAAATCATGTACCCTATAACTATTGCAAAAGGGTAGCCATGCCCAGCCATAACTGTCATTTCCACAAGCCGGTTGGATAACATCGTCCTCATTGGGGTATGAAGCTTCCATACGGATATTAAAGATAGCAATCAACAGTGATCCAGAATTCAAGCCGCCCAAAAAAGTCAGAATTCAAGTAAGTGAGGATCTGAAGATTGTAAAAGCAACCGAGAGTAACGACACAAATTGTAATATTTGGGTCACTTACTTGATGATCAAGTTTTGATGTCCAGAGCTCCCTTGGATACCGAATCAAGATGGTGTAGGAAAAGCGCAAGTGGTACTGTGGTATCGAAGGCGACTTGATTTTTGGTCTAACATTAGTAGGCGGGAAAGAAAGTAATCTTTCTTGTGGTGTTTCGCATATTTTACATTAGTATAAACAATGGAATGAAATGAAAACATCTTACGATTCTGAGTGGAGCTTAATGTTGGCGACTGAACTTTCGATGAAGTGCCCCCTCGCTCTCTTGCCACCATCAATCCCACGTCTGCGATGGCAATCGAGTATGGTATCTCTCTTTCATGCAGCATGCCTGCTACTTGGCCAGCGCGAGGACCCTCAACCATGATATCCATTGTGCTGTGTTCCTCTTTCCAAATTGTTAAAGCTAGAAAGATTAACCTCTACACAAGTCAAATACAAAAATGCCTTCCTTGTTCTTGTGAGGTTGACAAAACATCGTAGCTGTGTTAGTAAGGTGAGTTTATCCTGCTATGCTTTGATAGCCTTGTCCGAATGATATAAGTAGACAACCTTTTTTTGTAGAGAATTTTATTTTATTTGAATTTATATTTTTTTTATTAATGGTTTTTTAGAATTATAAATAAAGAAAATAATGTACCTCCGAGTGTATCGAGCGTTCTTACAAAATATCTCTGCCCTTCTCTAGTAAATTTTACCTCCCATACTTGAGTTTTTTCACTTAAATTTGCCACTTTGAATGGTAATTTGTAAATATTTTTAGTTAAAAAAATAAGTTAAACTTTCAATTTTAATTATGTAGGTTGTGGCATTTTAATGTCAAATGACAGATATTGTCAAAAAAGGTTATTTTTTAAAATAATATATTGTAATATCTATGATATTTTACTCTACTATCTCGAGCTCCTTCGTGCTTCGGAAGGCACGTTAAGACGTTGGTCCCGGCTGCATTTGCAGTCGTTAGCACCCACCAATCCGCACTGGGCTCGCGTGGTGAGCCATGGCCCAATCTCCCTATTCCATCCATAGGGAAGGCCTGTGCCCCAGCAGTGGGGACATTAATAGGCTGATGATGATAATGAATATCTATGCAAGAAAAAAAATACATACTAGCACTGTGGCATGTGGCATTAACTTTTACTTTTTGTGAAATTTTATGTGTTATCAAAATAAAAATATCGGTCAATCAGTTGTCGCGTTCTTAAATAATATTCATACAATACTTTTCAAATATTAAGCTTAACGAAGGCTTAATAAAAAGGGTCCAAGATATGAAAAGTATAATCACCTAAACATTTAATGTCGCTCATTAGTTGCGGTAATTAGTCTTCATTATTCCAATTGTCCATTGTGTTATGCTGCTTGGAACAAGTATTTTGTTTATCTATAAATTCCACAAATGCTTTTATAGCCTTCACTATCTCCTCTCCTGTTTCTTCGATCTCCTCTTTAGGTAATTTAAATTTGTGTTGCTTACTTCTGAGTTCTATCAGATAACAATATGGTATACCAGCTACGCCATAGCTAAAGTCATTGCTTGTACCAGACGCACCATACATTACGTCTCTAGAAACGCCGACTTTATACGTATTACCACTGCTATCGTGGATCGCCTAGAGGCAACAAAAGCTTATCTTAGTCAGATAGTTTGTTAGCAAATTGTTAATGTGATCGGACTTTTGGTATATATTTAAGTTTCGCAAATTTTTTAAACAGTTATGACTTCATTATTTTTGTCTGAGCTAAAATTTCAAATAGTTTCAATTAATACTCGTTAAGCCATTGGATATTTCTCATCAACGAATTTAATTAGTGCTTTAATACAACAAAGTATATCGTTGGCAGTTTCTTTGATCTCTTCTTTCGGTGTTATTGGTGGTAGGTTTCGCTTTCTTAGTTCGATCAGGTACGAAAATGGTATCCCGGCCACTCCGTAACTAAAATCATAACTAGTGCCAGCTGCCCCGTTCATGACGTCTTTAGATATACCAACTTTGTATATATTTCCATTGCATTGGTTAATTGCCTACAGAAATATTACAATGTTATCATTATCAATGCTGCAAATTGAAGGCGTTAATTTATAATAAGTATCACCGTTTGCATCTGTCAATCAGTTCTTTTAATATTGTTTAATATATCAAAACCAAAAACCTTTGTAACCTTTATAACTGGTGCTAACATTTATGTAACTACGGCTAAGGTTCCTAGTTCTAATAAAAAGTATCTTGAATAAATTCGGCTTAAGGCGAAATCGTACTCGAAGGCTACCGCACCAACGTACAAGGTTAACTACATTAAAAATACCTACAATAATCTTGCCATGAAGATTTGCAAAAGCGTTATTTAAATGGATTGGACTTTATATGAATTATTACTATAGTGGTAAGAGAAATACATTACAATAACACCTTTGACATAACAGTTGCACCTTCAAGCAATCTAATATAATCAGGACACAATGCCTCTTTGTGCGCGAAGGGGAATATGATAACTTGACCGTAGCTGTGCAGAGTAATGTACACCTTGAAGGAAATACCAGCATGCATCAACATATCCTGAAAGAAATACGTATTAAACATAAAAATAACAGTATAATCCTTAAAATAATAAATAAATTTATAAAGAAAAATTCTATTAAATAATTTTAATGCAGTGGTATTAGACAAAGACAAAATCCAACCAAATAGTACAGTAGCAGTCCAAAAAGCTGCGTTAAGCCGGACCAAGGAGCGAACGTCCGCTACCGCTTAACGCAGCGCACGCCCTAAGTGTAGTCGCACATCTAAGTTGTTTTTCCATAGCTAAGTTCTCATTTAATTTAGTGAAAGTATTTTTTTATAAAGTTTCAACAGTGAAATTAAGTTTGTTTACTCACAACCAGGTGCTTCAATAGTTAATCTACGAAATTTACCTAACGCAGTGTAATACCACAAGATTTTGGTGGATTTGTATTTCTGTAGATGAGTACAGTTGCAGGGCCAGAAATAGACATAGTAGGAGATTGGGTTTAGTCTAACAAGGTAAGGTTGGCTGGAGCTGGTTCTTTCGTTCTTTTATCTTGGCAACTGGAATCCACTTACAATGAACATTAGGTGGGGTCAGATTGTGTACTACGCCTTCTTTAAAAAAACAAACTTATTTTTACACCTTCATAATAATTTAACACCATCATTTCCATCATCATCAAAAATGTGAATCAATGTAAGATAATTCAGCAGTCTAGACTCTAGAGATCCAGGATTAGAGAGTTACTATAAATTTAATCATGAAAATGTTATACAATACAATACAAAAACTCTTTATTTTTATGCCACAGAAAACATAAAACATGAAGTATATATATATATATGACTATATATGTATTCATGTAGGTATTGACGTGTAATTTATTACGAAATAAATGATTATGATTATGATTATATAATTATATGTATGTATTGTTTTATATACTTATTTTTATTATATTTGCCGTCTCTCCAGATTCTTTCCTGTGCTCTCCATCCTAAGGTTGTCTGGAAGAGATCGCTCTCAGCGATAAGACCGCCCATTGTAACTCTGTATTCTGTAATTATGTACTTCATGTTTTATGATTTCTGTGGCATAAAAATAAAGAGTTTTTGTATTGTATTGTAGTATTGTATAACATTTTCATGATTAAATTTATATATATATATATATATATATATATATATATATATATAAACATATACATAACCCATATAAATACATACATGCCTATGTCTAATTCATTCAGCTAAAATCAACAAAAATGGAAGGGTTACAAGGACATATTGTGAGATCTAACAAGGTTTTTGAAAAAATCGTAGAGATTTTGCACATCTGATGGATACTGGAAGAGCATTCCATAGACGAACAGCTTGTACTGCGAAAGAACGGCCATAAAAAGTTGTACAGTGAACAGGAGTAATGAGAGAAAGATTTTCTGATGACCTTAGGGACAATGTGTTCGAAGTGTGAAGGAAATTAAAATATTCCTTAAGATAGCGTGGGGACAAAGGATTGAACAGTATGTTATACAGAATAGGAAGGATTAGTTATATTTAGGTATTTGGGTTTTGTTGGCGTACCATCAGTCAGAATCAAGAATTTAAATAGCAAATACAGTGAATTAATTCAATGTAACAGAATGATATAAAACCGGTGCAATGAAATTGATTTACGGCTAAATTCTGTTTGCAGTTTAATCTCGCCGCTCATTGTTGATGGCACGATTTTGGTATCAACGGGACATTGCTCTTAATGATTATAATATATTTTGTTTGTAGTATTAAACGATTTCAATCATTGATGGAAACAATATTAAATATGCTCATTAGTATAATAATTAACATTCAAATTATGATGCGATACAGAGGGTCGATATAGAGTTACTGGAGATTGGAAGATTTTTATAACTTGATCCAGTTTTCAAGTAAAGAGTCGTCTGAATACATAACACAATCATCCTTATCTCTATATCCAAATTCATTTAAATCTATTTTAAAACTTTAAGGCATCGTGACTGCGATAGAATTATCATATTGGTTTTATTTTACGGTTCTAATTGTAATACAGCAAATGCTGATTGATGCGCGTTTTCAAGTGAGTGATCATTTGAAATAATTCGGTCACTTTATTGATGTGCTATAGATAGACTATTCTGTTGTTGATAAGAGTTTATATACTAATACTAGCTTCTGCCTTTCGCTCGCGTTAGATTCGATTTCTCGCGACGCGATCGCGTCCAAATTTCGGACACCGTTTTACGCCTTTAGGGGTGAGTTTTGGAAAAGCGCATGCTTACATCATAACAGCTACGAGTATATGTGTATTAAATTTCAGCGCAATCAGTTCAGTGGTCTGAGCTGTTCGTTCAGAGATTAGTAAGGCAGTAACGGTTGTCTTTTATACATAGGTTATAAAAGAAGATTCTCTACTTGATAAAGAAATGTCTGATTATAAAAATCTACGTTACATAATGACTCACTCTAACAGCGGATGACTCTGGTTCTGAGAAAGGTTGAGCTCCGCGATAGAAAACACTTGTGGGAGCTCCTGACGATCCTTTACCACCCCAGCCACAGCTACAAGAATCAGTTTATATCAGGTCTCTCAAAAAACCCAAAACACGACTTTCTATCGAGTTATCACACATAATTATTTCAAAGGTTTAGAAGAAGACAAAAATGAAATAGAAAATAACTTCTTAATAAAAAAATCATAGTACATGAATTATAAAAACAATATTTTCTCTTATTACGAGTTAAGGAAATCAGTAATAAACGTAAGGTAATTTAAAATCATAGATGTTAATCACCTGAAGTTTCTATTGAGGTCTACCCCAACACATTCTCCACCATACCATGCCCTACTCTTCCGCCACATGCGGTCAACAGTATGGGAATATTCGTATCCATCGGGGTTCACTACTGGAAGGAAGTACCTACAATGTCGAATGTATTTATTTTATTATTATTTTATATCCCATCAATATCAACTTATTTAAAATCGATAAAATATTGCCTTAACCACATTTCATATTTATTTTACGGATGATGTTGCATTGCAGTAACTCAACATTTTATGTTGAGTTTATTAACGAATGTATTGTATAGCTGATCAATACTCTAAGTTTATTAGCATACCATTTTTGTCAATAATATGGCAACGCAAATGTTGATAAGAATAGGAATTATAATGAGATGAGATGATGGGCATCTGCGTATCTGGCTTAAATTTTTAGTTTTTCTGATGTATGTAAGAAAGTATGTATGAATAGATTATAAGTACTTTTTTTTGACATTGCGTATAACTATTATCTTTAAATTAATTTTATTTATTTTGACGTCACTGAACCTCATTAATTTAATTATCTTCTATATTATTTGCACGTTGACATTCAACAAAATATGCTGGAAACTAAAGAGCTGACAACTATTGTAACCATATTTTGGCAAATAAATGATTATTATTATTTACAGAGCAAGTACAGAGAACTTATAAATACCACTAGAGTGCACAAGAAGGTGGCGTTCTGGGTACAATAAACATATTTATTTGGACTTACCAATCTTTATTAGTGACACTTGGTGGCATATCAGAGAAATTCTTTGCAATGTGGTTGGCAATGTAAGTGACCACTGCGGGAGCTATCCACTCTCGGGCATGAATGCCGGCGTCGATCCAGACACTGCTGTTGGTAGCGTCACTATTGGAGATCTTAAGAATCTATATTAGTAAATAGTAAATGAGATATATAATAGCGCTAAGCAACTAGTTTGAAACATGGTAATTGTTTATGTGATTCGATGAAATAATTAACAAACAGAAATTTAATAATGCGAATTTATTATAAAAATCACTTAAAATAAAAAAATGTATAAATATTAAATACTACTAAACTGATTCAATGCAAAAGTTTGAGAGCACTTAAAGTTCGAAACTGTATTATTACAATGTCACATGTTAATTTAATATTTTTTTAATAATAGTCGATATACCATCGTTAATCAGAATCTATTACCTTTAAATCTCTACCTTCTACCGACTTGCCAATCGAACCAGATGTACAAATTGAAGGGTAATCACGTTCCAAATCATCCATAAATGTGTGTATAACGTCAAGGCGATGATAATTGTCCCAGTCCATACGTGGAACTTTATGATCTTCGTCTATGTAAATGTAACCAAATTAAATTTATTTAAAACGAGAAACCCTACTATAATTTATATTTCTTTTTATAGCCAGGCAGGCAAATGACTCTACCCCACCTGATGTTAAGTGGTGATAAAGACCAAACGCGGTACAGCAGTTATAAACTGCAACACCAACCATCCTCATCTTGCCGGCGTGCAAAAATGTTCCTTCACGCCTCTCTTAAAGGACCCCAGATTGTAGGAAGGAGGGAACACGTGCGCGGGCAAAGAATTCCACTTACGAATAGTATGACAAAGAAATAAGTCACCAAATTTCTTTGTTCGTATAGGAATAGTGGCCACCGTAAGTCGGTGACAAAGTAGGCTAGCGCGCGTGGTCCTCTGAAGAAAAGGTAATGGAGGGATAAGGGAGAATAACTCCTCGGAACACTCGCCATGGTATATGTTTTTACTGTTTTGTTCTAATATTATTGTTCAGTTACTTCAATATGGAAATTAATAAATGTGAGTATAATACAAAAGTTTGTTATCATATTCAGAAGCAAAACTAATAGAACATACCATTTATAATAAATTGTGGTTGTTTTGATGTTTTAATAGTGGAGCTAGTGTCATCAGTTTGGATGTTTTCAATCGATGGGTCATAAATATATGAAAGATCGACATTTTCTGGATTAAAATCATCTTTAAGAATATTTATTAAGGTTTTAAGTCTATCATTAATAGCCTGTTTTGATTCTGATTCCGGTGTACCGACAGAGTACTCATCGCAGATACTATCGAGTGTACTACCCGAGTCTTTTGAACTGTCTTCGTGAATTGCACAGCTAACATTTGCTTCATTTTCTAGACCATCTTCATATAAAGTTTCGTTCTTTGGCTCATAAATGGTATCTTCAGGGTGCGAATACAAGGCATTTTGTCGCATATATTGATGTTGCGGTCTGATTTTTGTAAATTGAGCGAAGTGTTCAGTTCCAGACATTGTTCTATGTAATGGAGCAAGTAAAGGATATCAGAACATATTTTTATTATATAAGCCAGTTGATTCTGGAACTGTTTTATTTGAGGCAGGACTATTTATTCATCTTCAGATTAAAAATCATTTTTATTTGGTATCCAGTTTATTTTATGGAGAACATTATTTTGGTTTTTGGCACTATTTCTGTGTTTCTGTTTAATTGACGTCTTCTTCAGATTGTTCTCTTTGGATAATAGGTTATCTTTATTTTACAGCATTACAATATATAGAACATCAAATTACAACAACTTAAAAAACTAACTAATGTATAAAATCTGAACCAAATTACCTTAATCTACACACGAATAATATCTAATTTACAAAATAAAAAATATGTATCCTCCAGTGCCGCCGTCAGGAATGGTATCCAATAGGCTGGCAGTATTGCCACGTTGAATGGCAAGGCTGATCCGTTGATCAAGATGGCTGCCAGCCTTTTGATCAACAGTCACTTCGGTGAGTCTCTTTGATAATTCCTGTAAAAAATGAACGAGCGCTTGGACCCCATGGGCTCATAGTCTCAACACCAAACGGCACAAATATATAGTTCTCATTGAGACCTGAATATTTACGCCGCTGGGAACATTTAGCAGAGGCCGCCGCCGCGCCCGCAGCAAGGGAGCTACTACCTGTATGGCACGGAGCAAGCGTATCCGCGCAAGTAGCATCCCATAAAAGAGGGCGACCCAGCTTCCAAGGAATGAGCGTCATCAAGTCAGGCCTCTTGCCATCGGCACGAAAGATGCCGCTAGGCTCAAGGATTGCTGGCACGTTGACTGCGACAAGAGCTCCACGGATGACGTCATTGATGCAGGCGTGACGGGAGACTCGGCCAGCTCTCATTTGGCATGAGAGATGGTCCCAACTAGATAATGATATTATTATTTCCCTTGGAGAGTTTATAATATTGAAAATATATAAAATATGTGATTCTTTAACGTTCTGTAATCATAAATGGTAAAATCATATGTCCATGGTCAAGCTAGTCCCGTGAGCGTCCAATACAAAAACAATATTTTTTTTAACACACACCAATTAGCCTAGCCTCGAAGAAAACGCTGTAAGGCTTGTGTTATGGGATACCAGGGTAACGGATAGAATACATATAATGTTACATATATATAGGTATATTTATATAGAAATATATATTAAACATCCATGACTGGAGTACAAATAAATGTTCGTATTTATCACACAAACATCTACCCCGATCAGGACTCGAACCCGGGAGCTCTCGAGTTGGCAACACTTTGAAACCCGGCGTCCATACCACTCGGCCACGGAGGTCGTCAAAAAAGTTGTAAGTTAAGTGATTTGTAAAGGACAAAATAAAGATTTTTAATGCGACAAGTGTTCTTTCCATATACATGAGTTAATTTCCACAATGAAACAATCTTTTTCAAAACCTCAAAGTTAGTAGTTTCCACGTTGAATACTAAATTAACAGTAAATAGTCCATTTTCACCCACCCATAAGCAGAGTCTAATGAAAAACACAGCATTTACCCCTCCCACTGGTGCCTACTAACTGTCGGTACCATAGTACCACATTATCATAGATAATCATGCAATGTTGTCTCCGATTACGTTTACTATGTAGCAAAAATAAAACGGTCGCAGGCCGTACATACTTTGTGGAATGTACTTTCTTAGGCCCGTATTACAGAATGACAACTAAGTGTTGATCTTTACTTGAGTACAGTTAAAAAAGGATATCGCTATGTGCTATATACAGCGACATCCTTTTCTAACTATGCTCAAGACTAGATCAAATATATGTGCCTTAGACTGTTATCACAAAATAAGGATGTCCGCCACCTAATAGGGATGATGAGATGAGAAGCATGAAAATCCTGACTCTGCCTTCGCTGTACATTTATGAAGTAGCTGTTTTTGTGTTATGTAACAATTCTCTGTTTCCGACACTCTCAGAAAGGAACCCTGAAAGAAATCATCGCCACTGGAATAGGATTTGCGCTCCTTCTTATAAAACCATACATGTTAGTAGTAGCTTCTTTGGGATGGCTCACAGAATATTCAACAAGGTTCCGAGTCGTCTTAAATCACTACCGATAAAGACTTTTAAGAAGCGTCTGTTAGCATTATTAGTTGAAAAAGCCTACTATACAGTCGAGGAATTTTTAAATGACAAATCTTGTAATTAAATCGGACACCTCTTTTATAAAAGCAGTTCTCTATTATAAAATTTAGACATATTAAAATTGTCAATTCAGTTAAGAAATGTGTATTTATTGCTATTTTGGACATTTTGCTTATTTTTCTATTAAAATTTTGACTATTAGTATGACAACTTTATTATTACTATTACTTATCAAATTTATAATTAATTTATAATCTACTTTGACATGCATGTAACAACAGACAATTTCAAATTATATTCATAAATTGTGATTCCAATGTAAAAATAATAGTACTTCTTTCATAGGTTCATATCTATTTGTATACCTTAATTAAGGTGGAAATGTAGTCATACTAACAAAAATTTTATATACCATGTATACTAACCTATGTTTCACAAATAAAATTCTGATTCTGATGACTATTTTTTTTCTTCATTTACGAGGTAGATTATCAAAAAGTATTGGACACGTATTTTTTCTTTTTTCACATAATATAAACATTGCAGAAATATATTGATTTGTAAAGTCGCATTTCGTCACGTTTTGGTACAATTTTCACTTAAAAGTGACGTCACGAGCCCCTACTCCCAAACTTTGACGCGCTATAATTAAAATAATAAAAAATAGTCAAATATTAAGGGGAGCTCCTAACATAAATTAAAATATGGTCAGCGAGAAGCGATACAAAAGTACCTTAATCTTATACGAGACTATGGGACTGACAGTCTAATAACTATCTCTTTCATCTCATATATATGACTAGCGGACCCGACAGACGTTGTCCTGTCTACACGTCTTTGTGAATCTAAACCATTCTCAGATCCCCTTGAACACACACAAAAAATTTCATCAAAATCGGTCCAGTCGTTTAAGAGAAGTTCAGTGACATACACGAGTGTGTGAGTACAGAAGAATTATATATATAAAGACTAGCTGACTCGGCGAACTTCGTACCGCCCAAAAGTAATAATTTGCAATAAATTAAAATTGCGACTATAATTTGAGATTTAAAGTATCCTATCTCTCAAGTTGGATCGAACTGCACATGGTGTGCGAATTTTATTATAATCGGTTCAGTGGTTTAGGAGTCCATTGAGGACAAACATTGTGACACGAGATTTATATATATTAAGATATGAGGTCTCGTTCTGTCATGTCAAGTCATTGCCAACGCGCCGCGTTCGCCAACATTCGGGCGCCCATTTATAGTAAAAAAACTTTTTTTTTATGATTTTGTGGTCGTTCAATACAGAAAATCACAATAGTTATCTACATTTTATTTAAATACTAGCTGACCCAGCGAACTTCGTACCGCCCTAAAAAATAGGGGTTGTCCAGCGGACAAAATTGTGAATCTAAACCATTCTCAGATCCCCTTGAACACACACAAAAAATTTCATCAAAATCGGTCCAGTCGTTTAAGAGAAGTTCAGTGACATACACACTCACAGAAGAATTATATATATAAAGATATGCTTATTAAAATGATTAACGTCCTATATTAATTTTCATAAATAAAGTGACATTTTGCAAAAAAAATCCCGACCGCTGCATTGGTCAATGACCGTTCATCGACTGTGTTCACATTTAGTATCGCTTCTTGTTGGATAGCATAGAATTTGAAAATCCGCTCGTTTTTTTCAACCCCATGTCAACCGCTGAGGCTCTATGGCAAATGTTAATCTTGAACAATAGTTTGAAGCCTTTTATTAGCGAATCCGACTCGAACATAACAGTTGATTAATACATAATGTTGGACTCGTATAAAATTATATTTTAGATAAGGTAGGTATAGGTTTGCGCGTCCGCCGCCTACCCGCCAGGTTGTTGTTTCCTCTTACAGAATCAACAAAATACGCTTTTCAGCATCAATATCTTTTATTTTTTCCACTAGGAAGTTACTACTAGTTGTCTGAATTGTTGTTACCGTTCCAACATGAGGCGTTTATAATTATTTAAGTTTTGAAATAAGCCAGCTTGTTTTTATTTCTTCATAATTGTTACATGAAAATTAAACAAGAATTCCTATTTTTGCCTAATTTTGATGAAATTTGGTATGCATGTAGTGTAAGACCTGGATTGAGATAAATTTTATTTTTTATCCCGGAAATACATTAGTTTATTGTTGGATTTTCAATAAAACAAATATAATTATCTCAAAAATATATCTAAAATTATACTCAATTAATTCAATAAAAATTGCTGAAACTCTTTATTAAAATAGGGAAACTGCGTATAACGGAACGTTATTACTTAGACGCAATTTGTCATTGACTGACAGGTCACAGCTTATACTATTGGTTTAAATCTCTGGTTTAAATTAATTTCCTTGATTGTGATTGGTTGTATCAAAAATCATGTGATTTCCGTAGATAATTATATATTATCTGTGTTGCCATCAGACTAATATTATAAAGGCGAAAGTTTGTGACTGTGTATTTTAGATACTTCTTCACGTCTAAACGCCTGGATCGATTTAATAAAATTTGGTATGGAGCTAGCTGACATGATTCACAAACCGCGGGTAACACAGCGGGGCATAGCTAATTAATGTAAATATTGAACGACATTTTTACGTGGACAAGTGGATCATACACTTCGTTTATGTTTTTAATGAATTCAGCATATTATTCTACATACAAATATATACTTTAGGTACAAAATTGGGCAGATTTGTATGGAAAAAAATGGATTCTTTTCTTGATTGGCTCATCAAAAAGGGCTTGAACACGAGACATCTGCAAATTAATCTAAGAATATTGGGCCGAGAATCGAACCGATAAATCTAACAAGCAAATAACGAGAGTCGGTAAGGGTGGCACAATTAAAAAGATAAACGCGCATAAGATCGCGCCCAGGCGACAGGGGGAGTTTGGGGTGCGCCAGTCTGGTTAGCGGGTTACCGAGAGACTGCCCCTACTACTGTAACTAGAATTTGAGAAAAAATATAAAATATCCCGGTTTCCGTATTTTCAGGAGATGAAGTGGATATCATGTCCAGTCTATGAGTAGATTGACGTTTATTCTTATCTTACTTCCTACTAATATTACAAACGTGAAAGTTAGTATGCTTGTTACTTGATCACGCAAAACTATTTGGATGAAATTTGGTATGCATGTAGTTAATGACCTAGATTGAGATAAAGGATACTTTTTATCCCCGAAATACATTAGTTTTGGGGGGGTTTTCAAATTAACAGATATAAAGCGGACGAAGTCGTGTCCCAGACTAATAGTAAACTAAAATGCAATGAACTCTAATTGCTGATAAAGTACCTGTTCTATCTTATAACAAATATATTTTCTTATAATAACACCTAAAAATAGAGTAGATAGGTAGGTATATCGCGTAGGTATATCTTTTCAGATATGACTGGCTTGATGAAAAGTAGAGCCCACTTTCAGAGGCTAATAATGCCCCGCGTGAACGCTGAAAGCCTACAAAAAAGCTATAAGGTTCCAGAAGAAAGTTGGGGTTGTCTTAGCGGTTTAGGGCGGCGACATTTAAAATTTTACATGAAAGAAACCACTTCTGTACTGCATTAATTGTTTTAATCACTATTGCTGCAACCTTCAATAATAAAAAAAACAAACCGATTTTTTACAACTTTTTATTTTTTGTAAAACGTAACGTAACATAGCAGTCAATAAAATTAAAAGAATACTTTTACTATAAAAAAATAAAGTCGGTCAAGGTTTCAAGCGGGACTCGAACTTTAACCTCAATAAATTTTGGTGGGCGCTAGAAAATAATTTTCAAAGTGGGATGTAGATAAGTTTTAGAAACTCTGTTCTGTACAAAAAGGTGATTCGTATTGAAATCCGTAATTTTCAGTACCTAATATATTTTTTTCTAACAATGAGAACCGTATAGTTGATCTGTAAATCTAAAAATTACTTAATTCTTGCTGTAAGTTCGCCATGAAAATGGAAAGATAAGTAAATACTCATGTATGAATCTACATATTTTTCTATTTTAACTTTTTATTTATCCAAAGATAGTTCGAGCGCATCTATCGCCAAGTTTGTGGGTATGAATTGCATATCAGGGATAAGCTTCAGCTCCCACCAGAAACGCAACGCTGCGTGCATATTTTATTAGAGCGAATCAAAATATAACTTTATTTACAACTCCAAAAGATACACATTTCATAGTTTGAAACCATTAAATGAGTATCTTTTCATGTAGTAAATAAAGTTATGTTTAGAGTCGCTTTGTGCAGCAATATGCGTGCAGCATCACGTCGCGTTTCGGTGTAAGCTGAAGCTTATACATAAATTATTACGCGGCTCAAGTGTGAATAAGTGACCCGAGTCTCACAACTAAAAGTGCCTTCAGAAGCACGAAGGAACCATTTCACTTTACAATCACATTTGAATAATAAAATATATATTTCGGGTTCCAATAGTAGGGGCTATGTTTCATTAAAAGGGAGTGCACGGGCGGCGAGGCGTTTACTGAAAATATCTGATTACATCTAATTATCGAACGAGCGCCAGCGCTCAGCTCGCTCGGCTCGCTTGTCTTGATTACACGGCCTTTGTTTGCCGAGATACTTGCAACTGCGACTTGTAGATTACTGGATTGCACTACTCGCTTGTTGAAGTTTCGCTTTAGTGGTATTTTTCTTGTTATTAATGAAAATAATATTACACTGTATAGCTATGTCAGTTTAAAGAGAATAGGTTCACGCAAAAGAGAAAATGTTTCTTTTGCTAAACCTCCCTATAAAAAATTAGGTACTAACCTTCTCAAGTAGAGACTTAAGCCAATTAAATGGCAGATTAGAGTTAGGAACATTACGGACGCGCCGTACGCGTTGCTAATGACTAGAAACCTATTACATACTTAATTTGTGTGCCAGTCATTAACATGAACAACAAATTCAATTAAATTTACTTATTTCTGAAATAATAATTGCTAAAAGGGTCTCATTACATAATCTTTATTTTTATCTATCTTACGGTACCGTACAAGAAAGTTATAAAAATATCTATGGTACCGTAACTGTGATGCTTTGCTAAAGGATAAAGTGACGGTATGTTATGCAAGAGTTAATAGCACAGTTTATAGTATTAAGTTTGGGACAAAATATCTATGTGGGGCGGTTGTCACAACTGTAGGTGACTCGTGTTTAGTTCAGTAAACATGCATTTAACCCATTATACCTACTATATTATACCCATTATACCATACTATATATATATATATATATATATATATATATACCATTATACCCATTATACTGCCATAGAAAAAAGCTAAACACAAAAATTTAAAACCTGAGCCTAAAACCCTTTTGTGCGATAGTTTTTAGTTATTAATCAATGTCTATTATTAAATTTATATTCTATGGGCATGTTTTTTGACACTCAACGGATTGACACTTAATTATGACGTCGTCGGTAGCATGTCAAAATTCAAGAGTTATTAATTATTTTCAGGGAAACGTTTTATTTTGAAATTCTAGTGGGTTAATTAATCAAAGTGGCACGAAAAGACGTCAGGTACCAAATATGGGACGTGAAGTGTTTAAAAGAAGGACAAAGAATTTTCCTGAGAAGCTTAAACGCCAAAGGATGTATGTTCATGTCTTTTCGTGTAAAAAAGTAAAGTGTATTTAATTATATATCGTTTATCGATCTTCTTCGCGTTTTGGAAGCCATGTAGACTGTATGGTTCTAGCTCCATCTACTGCACTCGCTTATCTCGGCTATTAGCCATGTTCCCACCACTATGCCCCATTGGTGGGTCCACATGTATCTACATGGGGTCTACTGATAATTAAAACTAAATCGCCTTTTAACTGTGATGATTGGAAAAGTACCTATGTAGGTAGTAAAAAAGATAAAGTCCAAAAGTCTATATTGGACCCCGGAAAAAAAATCATTAAGATTTTGAAATAGAGGCTAGAGAAATTTTCTACAACATCAAAACTGGAAACTACCGTCAAAATTGCGAGACCACTTTTTAATATTTCATACTAGCGGCGGCTCGCGACTTCGTCCGCAGTAACTTTAGTTTTATGAGAATTCCTATGGAACTTAACAATTTTCTGGGATAAAAAGTATTTTGTGTCTTAATCCAGGTATTGAACTATGTGTGTGCCATATTTTATTGAATTCCATTTAGCCGTTCTTACGTGAACGATTAACTAACTTACCAACTTTGCCATACTAGTGAGTCAACAAGTATTTTTTTATTCCAGTGGGTATGGCAGTGAATATACGGATAATTGAGCTAAACTGCTTTTTAACCGTTTTCTCACCGCTTCTATGTTTGGAAAAGTATGTAGGTTGTAGTGGATTTACGGGGGAAAAGAATATCAAAATTAAAAAGCGGGTTTGTCCAAATTATTTTAAATCAGGTCGCATCAGGCCCGCATGGTGGGTTATAACCGTAGATATATAACTTCATGGCTTTATAACATATTTTCCAATTCTAATCCCCACAATCATATTGGGAATCTTTTGTAAAGTAATCCTTGTTATTTAAACTTCGACAAATAAGGTACTTATACCTATATATTGCAAACACACGCCTTATTTCGCATTCATCAGATTTATCGCCGGCGCAGATGACAGACTTTTCTCTGTGGACTTTTTTATCGGCCTAAATAGTTCGCTAACAGCTACCTCATTGAGCTATGCACACGAGGGATTAAAAATACCGCTTAAAAAAAGTCCCCCTAACAACCGAATTCACCGAGAGACAAAAGTACGGGGGTGTCCCCGAAAAAAATGTAAGTCATGCAGCAACGCACACAACGAACTTTAATAAAAAAATTGTTCGCGTTACGTACTCGATCCGATTTAAAGGGATGGACCTAGACACCCAGTGTTCTGCTTTAAAACGTCTTTTCTTTTCGTTAAATGTCATATTAATTACACCGCCCCAAAATCCAGAATATTTGCTTTCGAAGCGTGCGCTTATTTAAATGTCCGAGCAACATTTGTTGCGCGCCGCGCCGTGTGCGTTGATTCCGTGGCAAGTCCTCGGCGCCAATTTTTATCGCAGACATAAGTCCCTCGTCTGCGCAGGCCATTAAGTGTATCAATGGACGTAGAATTTTAGAGGGTACAACGAAACCAAATATTATTAAGCCTCGTCTATATATATCCGTCTGTTATTAGCGCTATATTCGAAATTTCTTTTTGACTAATACGAATTCATCTGAAAATGAATCTTTAAAAAAAATCCTCAAAATCATATCTTTAAATATTTTTCATAAATTTCTCTTTTTCCCCATTTTTTGTTAGCTGTAAGCATCAGCAAAGAATATCCCACGAGAATGGACGTCATGGTGGACGTACAGAGGCTGATGCAGGTGGATAAGCTTCTGCGAGAGAGGGACATCCCGTACGAAGTCACTGTTGCTGATACAAGTATTGGAATTACTCATAACCGCAATCGAAGCCCTATTCCAAATATTCAGAGACCAAGATCACCCATAAGTAAGCTATTTTAGATTTTTAATCCAAACCTTTTATTGCATTTAGTTTATAAATTCCTTTATTGAAAAAAAACCGGCCAAGTGCGAGTCGGACTCGCGCACTGAGGGTTCCGTACAAACTTAATTTAATACCCCTACGCGTTCATGAGAAAAGAGGTAGTAACTTTAAAATTTCCAAAAATATTTCCATATATATGTAACTAAAAATTTACGGTTTTCGCAATTTTTCCTTTATCTGTATTATAAGACGTTACTTCGTACCAAATTTCAAGATTCTAAGTTCACGGGAAGTACCCTGTAGGTTTTGATTCCCGTGCGAGTTTCGAAAATTTGCGGAAATTTGCGGCATAAACGGCTGTATCTTTTGATTGCTTCGGCTTAGAAGTTTGATTTTTTCACAGCTTCAAGGGACAGTAGACCTGAGTAATTGATATAAATTTCAGCTTCATACCTCCACGCGTTCCTGAGAAAAAGGGTCTTGACAGACGGACGGACGGACAGACGGACAACAAAGTGATCCTATAAGGGTTCCGTTTTTCCTTTTGAGGTACGGAACCCTAAAAACACTGAATTCCGTGGCGTTTACGAAAAGTGTACCTTTGTACCACATCAATATTGAGATTTCATATTCTGATGTACTTTTTATTTGTAGTCTGTTAAAAAGTAACAATCTTTTTTTTTAGAAAAAGCAATGGATTGGAGGGACTTCTATCCTTTAGATATGATTTACAATTTTATGGATTATTTAGAAGTTCAATTTCCTTCTACTTGTACGGTGAGCGTCATAGGAAAGTCAGTAGAAGGCCGAATTATAAAGGTAAGTCGTAATAATGCAGATTAGAGAATTACTTTTAAGTGTCCAATAATAAATGAAAACTTATCAATGGTGCAGTTTAAAAAGAAAAGCAAATCATAGTTAAGTTACTTGCTGTTTTTTCCAATTAATGTAGTAGAACAGCTAAAAATAGAAGCTCTATTAAACTGACTTTAAAAAGAGAACCAACCTGGCATTTGTAGAACTCGATGGCCCTGAAAACCTTACAGCAGAGATAAAAAACCTCATAGAATAGTGATATTCAATTGTGGTATCCTATAACATGAACTTTACTTCCCAGACAGGCTTTCGAATTCCAGCAGAAATATTTGGCAATTATCATCAGCCTATTAATGTTCTCTTGGCCAGGCACAGTCCTTCCTTATGTGAGGAATACGCAGATCACACCACCAGACCACGCGACCCACCATGCAGGAGTGGATTGGTGGGTAATAAGTGCAACACTTTTATTAAATTTTGCAGATGCTCAAGATATCAAACAGTAATGCAAGCAACACGGCGGCATGGCTTGACGGCGCTATACATGCGCGGGAGTGGATAAGCACAGCTGTGGTCACTTTCATAGCCGATCATATCGCTAGAAACTTTGACGAACTACCTCTGGCTATCACAAATAAAGACTGGTAAGTCCTGTTCTATATTTTCTTATGATGTCTTATGAAAAGAGGAGAAAGATAACAAACACGTAATGAAAGTGTTTCCCGAAAGTCATACGAGAATAATAAAAGTGAATGATCCAATTTACTACCTTACTACTACTATACCAACAAAAGAGAAATAATATATAAATTAAATTGAAAGACGATCAATGAAACTTGTATTAGAACATCATGTAATTTTATGGCGTAGATTATGGGTATGGTACTCCTAATGTGGTCTGGTAATAATAAAATTGGAGTGCGGTGTGATATTGTTTTTTCATCAGTCATCATTAATTAGCATTCCTTCCAATAAGAAACAGATTACTTTTTATTTGCAGGTATTTCTTACCAGTTGTTAATCCCGACGGCTACCACCACACACACATTTTGGATAGATTATGGCGCAAAAACAGAGCTCGCGTTGGTACTACGATATGCGGAGTTGATCTTAACAGGAATTTTTCGTGCGTATTACTTATTTTAACAAATTTGTTCTTTGTTTATTGTGTTGACTTTAAAAACGCTAACACTGTTGGATATTTTTTAAATCGAATGTCATAATTTATTTTATACTTTACAAAGTAATTTAGGCTTCAACATATTAAAGACCTTGTTTAGAGTGGATTCATGTGTCTTCGTCTGCGTGGAAAAATTGGTTTCCCATACAAACTTCCACACCCCTATTCACCCCCTCTAAAGATGAGTTTTGGAATAAATTGTCTCATGCCCTTTTCTGGGACTTAAACTATCTCTTTACCAAATTTTATCTAAATAGTTTCAGTTCTTTAAGCGTGAAGAGATTACAACAGATAGGAAGACAGACAGACTAATGTGGAAGTATGGAAATGGATTTCAACTGTACCGATCATAACTATATCGATTTTTCTATAATGTTCTTTTTAATTGTATTTTTTGTAACGAAATATACTTTCAGACATTATTGGGGTCGTGGTGCTTGTGAATATTCTTCGACAGATCCATGTCATTTGAATTATAGAGGCACAGCGCCTTTTTCAGAGCCCGAAACGGCAGCTATTAAGGTGAGCATGAATAAAGTGCAGATTACAATACAGTTAGGTGAAATACAGTCATGTAGTTTTAAGGTTAGCGCACATTATGTCGGGCTACAGCGGAGCGGAGTTGGCCAAAGCGTAGCGCATAATGATAAGCACATTAGTGTCGGGCCGGGTTGCAGCGCCTTGACGGATTTTGGGTACAGTGTACTGCCAGACATCCGTGCAACTGTATGTACTTCAATCGGCTTTCTATGTATATATAGCACACTGTTTCGGGGCCCAGCAGGGTTGAGCGGGCCGCATCGCACGCAACCAAAATCCACGGCGGTCCCTCCGTCGCCATCGTAACCGTGTTTCGTAATCAGTTCCATTCGAAGACTTAAACGTCCTTGGTAGTAACCAGTTACGATTGAGGATGTTTTCTTCCTAGTTCGAAACCAGTTACTTTACTAAGATTTTTGTCTTGATTATTCATTTTATCTTTCAAAACTCTATGCTGTTAATTACTGAAAAAATACCTAACTGGCCTCTTAGAATCCACTCAAGTGTGATCTAATCTCTTTATTTGTATGAGTAACCTATCGTAAATAGGTTTTTGTTTATGTGTACATAATTGTAAGGTCACCCCGCCACGTTTTGTAAGCACGTGCAAGTTGTACAATAATTGTTTAATTTCCTATATGAAATAAATCAGTGACAATTTAGCACTCGAACGGGACGGTTTTATTTATCATTATCCAATTTCATCACCCGTTCTAACTTATCAGTATCAATTATCATTTTCTATTAAATGTAAGAAGGCTTACGCATTAGCCCTTCATTATTTTTTTGAGTGTGTATGCTGTTGGTCGCTGAAGACCTTTACAGCGTAACCGTGGTTGGACTAAATACTACTATAATCTTTAGATATGACAATGTTTAGTGGTGTTCGGTACAAATCGGTAGGTAGACCGGAGGTCAGTTTTATTTATCAAAATTGTAGGGTAGTTCAGTTCTTCGTTCTCTCGGCTTGAAGTCGGCTTGGTCGCCGTGTATAATTGAAATTATATATTTTATCGCAACTAGTGTCTTCCATCGTAACTTGTTTTGAACAGGGAACAATACACCCTCAATTGTAACTGGTTATGAAAATATTTTGTTGGTGGATACTGGTTTCGAACAAGGTAAAAATCATCATCACGACTCGTCACGACTAAAGACAAAATATAGTGATGACGCCGAAGGGGTGGCGGCATTTGCGGCCCGCTGTGCCACGGCATGCTTTGCGCGAAGCTTAACTATTACAGCTATTCGAACCTAATGTAAACCCAAGAACCCAAGTTGGATACTTATAGAAATACTTGTGGCTTTTTTTCCTTTTTATTGGAGTAGGCCTTTGAGACCTAAAATGTATGAGTAAAAATTGCTTTAGAAATGAAATAAAATTATACTGTATTTAAATTGACTTGTTAAAAGCTCTTTTTAATCGTCGAATAGTTTTCCCTACTTACCCATTTTACGCCCTATTCAGGACATATTTTAGTTAAAGAAAAGAATGGGTGCAAGAAACTCATCAGTATTTAGCTGAAATAGCAACATTTACATAAAATTATGTCGCTAACAATACAATGTCCACTGACATTTTGATTGCTGTGTCATACAGTGTAAAATACAAATAGTGTAATAATTTTTAATAGAGATGATGCAAATTGAGCTTTATTTTCATTTCTAAACCAATGTAGACCTCATTAGGCTCTAATCTTTTGAATGCTCAATCTCGGTTATGTTGAAAAACTGCTGCTTTGATAATCTGATATTATGAGAATCTATTATTAGACGAATCTGATTACTTATATAACAATAAATTTGGCAAACATTCTTTTCAGGATTTAATATTATATTCAGCAACACCATTCAAAATATTCTTAACTTTTCATTCTTATAGTGAAGTAATATCATTTCCTTGGTGCTTCTCAAATGAACCATGCAAAGACTATGTAACACTATTAGAAGGTGGCACATCAATGGCAAAGGTATTACTATGTTTTAATACTACACAGATAATACTTTTATGATGTTTCAAATATATTAACAATATCTTTTATTATTTTCAAATATATTAACAATATTTATTTTAACCAATGCTTTAATTAAATGTAAAATTTACATTGTTAGTATACATACTTCGAAAGTAGGAAATAATAAATATTAACTTTTGGAAAGATAAATAATTTATTGAAGACTGCGACTTGTCATTTCTAAGGTCCTTTAGTTTTTAATAACAATTAAACAGAGAAATGTAAAATCGTCGTTACTTTAATAGTACTACTAAGCTATTGATTTGCTTAATTGCTACTGAAACTCATCTATAACTCAATTACTGCTTTTCTAAAAAAATCTAATTACAGGCTATCTACGAAACGAACGGTCGGATGTACAAAGTCGGCAACTTCAAGGATCTCATGTACAGCGCTACTGGAACCAGCATAGACTGGAGCTATGGGGTTGCTCGAATACCATTCTCTTATCTAGTCGAACTGCCGAGTAAGCAACACCGATTCTTACTTCCGAAGGAGGAAATTCTAGACTGCTGCAAGGAAGCCTTAAACGGAGTAATGGCATTGGCGCAATTTGTGGACACGACGAAGCCATCAGTCCATACAGTAATAGCCGATAAAAAGTGGTCGGCCTTGTGATAGTTTTGTATGATATTGTTATAGGAGAAATATTGTTTTTCATGTTGATGTAAAATAAATCACCCTTTTACCGATCATTACAATAGTTTATTTTGTTTAGTGTTCTTGTACTTTTTTGCGTCTTCGCAGAGTCAAAGATGCATCAGAAACGTTTTTTTACGCGTGAGGAGTTTCATTGTTTAAAATAATAAACATACCTAGAATTTGCTAAGTTGGGAGAGTCAGCACAGATATAGACAGATTTTGTGCTAATAAAATAAATAAATAAATAAAAATAGAATCGGACTTTTCTTACGAGAAAGTAAGCCTCACCTTAAGGTTTGCGCACATTATGCAGCGGGGCAGAGCAGGCCGCAGCGCAGCGCAAAATGTTTACTTAACTCATTACTGACGGGCTGGATCGCGGCGCATTGACGGATTTTGGGTACAGTGTCTTGCCAGATGTCCGTGCAATTGTATTCACTTACAATCCGCTTACTATAATATAATATAATAAGCACACTATCGGGGTGCAGCGTGGCGGGGCGGGCCGCATCGCTCGCAATCGAAATCCGCGGCGGAATATGCGGCCATCTGCGCCCCGGCATAGTGTTGTGCGATAGTTCATAAAAATACATAAGAGCGATTTCAGTAGGTTTTTGCGAAACGACCCGACCCGCTGCGGCTAGACATAATGTGCGCGATCCCTTTAAAAGCACATTACATTAAAACACTAGCTTTCGTGATGGTGTTGAGTTTCTGTTTGCTGAACTCGCAGAGTTTCATGAGTAGAGGATTCTATTCAGGCCGGTAAATTTAAGACGACTAGAGCGGTACTTTCTCTGCTTCATCATCTGTCTTCTGGACTCCACCCACACTAATAATTTTCTGCGCCTTCTTAAAAAGTGCATAATATAGTAAAGGCATATACCTAATTAGATTGTTGACTTAGAAAAACGACGGGTTGCACTCCGGGGGTGCCGGCAGAAGTGAAAACTTGAATATTAAAGTTGTGCATTTTTGATATTTTGGAATGGTTAGGGAATAATTTTGCACGAATTGCTTTAATTATCAGTATAAAAGTACTATCATTTATGTGGTAGAATACAATATTTATTTATTACGCTATCGTACACAAACATAACAATTTATATTACTATATTAAAAAGTTTATCTCTAAGAAAAATCAACTTACATGAATCAGATTTAAGCGCACCTAGCTACATCTATAAAAAAAATGCATTTTATTCGCAATAAAGTGCTACCTGGACGTCCTAGATAGAGGCATGTTTCGTCCAATATATTGAAAGTCAACAACCTTTCCAATCTTATTGTTTTCGTCTTACGAATTTTCGATTAGTTCGCGTGTCCTGACGCGAGTTTAGCATTTATTACCCATTACAAAAAAAGCGTACAACGCCGCTAAAGAAGTTTTCACTTCACCAAAAATCTCGCAAGAGCAAAACTTTGTGCAACGCATTAATGAAAGAATATTCAATAATTTTAATAAGTACATAGAGCGACAAAGAACCAATAGAACCATGAAGATGATTATAAAAATGTCAACAAAAAGAATTTATGTGCGGGGCGGGGAATTCAAAATCGACTTAAAATCTTGATGCTAGGTTGTTAAGACCTTGCTAGAATATTATTAAACCCTGATTTTGTGTTTTTTGAAATTGATATATTATTGCATATTTATAGTAATTTATATTATCATTCGCATTGCTACCAAATATTTATGTTCGAAAAGAATGTTCGACAGTGACCACGAAAATAAGCTAAATTTACTTTAAGGGTTACAGGTGCGGATTTCAAATAATATTTGTAAGAGCTTCATGAATACAAACTTTATTGTCCCTTAACATTATATCTACAATACGATTACAAAACAAGACAGTGTGTTTCATTTCAAAGTGATCCTAATGGTTATCAATATAGTTCATCAATGAGTTGATTGCATTCCAAATTTCAACGCAGTTGCCTGTGATTTGATCTTTTGGCAGTTTGAATCTGTGCTTTCTACCCCTCAGCTCGATCATATACGAGTAAGGTATTTTTGCGATGGCGTAACTCCAATCTATGCTTGTGCCACAAGCGTAGTATGTCAAGTCCTTTGTGCTTCCAACTCTGTATGTCATACCAGAAGTTTCCTGGATTGCCTAAAAAACAAGTTTATAAATTGCAGTTATACAAGGTTAACTGACAAATATTTTTCTAAAGAATATGTAACTAGAAAAAAATCCACGCGGATCAGGCAGCAGACGGGAATCGAACCCGCACCCTTCGCAATCCGGGCGAATGCACTGATCAATTATGCTACCTCGGCCCTTACGGCCGCGTCGAAATTCCTCTAGCCATTCTTAAGCTGCAAGGCATAATAAGAAATTAGTTATAGTGTGAACCTTAGTTCACACTATAACTAATTTATTATTTCCAAGCTGAGAAATAAGTCAAAATCTAAGCAAATTACCTAAGAGCGTCAGCTGAGGTATTGATAGCAAGAGTATGAAATACGCTTGTTCACTATATTTGATTACTTTTTACATTATTCATAGACAAGGTATTAGGATTTATTACTAATTAAATATTTAGGCATTTTAATTGTTACAAAATTAAATTTTCGGTATCGATACAGTCGAAAAGAAAACCTAAAATAAAAAAATAAGAAAAAGTAGCTATCCTACTAGTTTCTTACGCGCGAGTTACCCTGGCCATGGCCGTGCCTGCTTCCAGCAAACGCAAGTAGTCTTTACATGGCTCCTTCTTGAAGCCCCAGGGGAATATGATCAGCTCAAAGTAGCTATGGAACGACAGGAACACCTTAAAAGGCGTCGTCGAACCGAGTATCGTATCCTGTGACAAACAAGGAAATCAATTTGAATGTTTAACTAAATATAAAACGACCAGCTACTAACTTTTCCATGCAGAAGGAAAAGTCTTATTATCATCGAACAGGCCCGTTCCAAAAGCTTTGTAAGTAGGTATATTTTGAGTTCACAATTCTACAAATCAAGCTTCATATATCCAAAAAACGGCAATGCTGAATAATGATTACGGTAGCAAAGTATGTTTTGTCTTCATGGTGACATCTGCTTCTCAATAAAACTTGTTTGTTTCATCATCATCAGCCTATTAATGTCCCCAATACAGGGCTACAGACCTTCCCCATGGATGGAATAATGTAACCCACCACGCGGGCCCAGTGCGGATGGGTGGGTGCATATGACTGCAGATGCAGCCGGCCCCAACGGCTTAACGTTAAGCACAGAGGAGCTCGAGACAATAAGTTGTTGGTCACCCATTCTATGACCGACCATTGCGAAAGTATTTCACGATCGCCGGTCGAATGCGCTAACTACCTGCGCCATCGAGCTCCTCGTTGTTTGTTTATATTACTTAAAATAATGTTTATAACTTACTCTCACAGCTGTGCTTTCTGGTTCCGAAAATGGCGCAGGACCCCTGTAAAATATGTTATTTGGTTCTTCCGAAGAACCTTCGTTACCATTATTTCCCCAGCCATAACTGTAAATGAAAATATTAAATATACATCAGGAATATTAAAATTGTATGTAATTTTAGAAAATCAGCTTTAATTACCTGAAGTTTCTATTTAGGTCGACACCAAATTCGCCATTGTAACAAGCTCTATTTTTCCTCCACATGCGGTCGTGGGTGTGAGTATATTCGTAGCCATCTGGATTCAGCACTGGAACTATGTGCCTGGAAACATACTACAAAATGACTAAAGTTTAGTAAATACAGTTAGAGTCTGTGCGGAAAGAGAATGGGATTTAGATTGAAGGGCGCTGTAGTGCTTTTCTACCGTATTTGTAAGGTTTCACACCTTTTAGACATGATTATATTACAAAAAATCGCAAGAAATCACAACAAAAAGCAAATCCGTATCAACACATAACTTTGACGTTTTACAGATTGCTGGGTTTGATTGCCAAATAAAAATCTTAATGTTTTTCGTCACGCCCATTCTCTTTCCGCACAGACTCTAGTAGTCATTATGTTATTTGCGGCATTGTTACCATGTGCCTTGTTTTTAGCGAGTTTCTGATATTTCGGCACTGTTGCAAGCGCCATGATCACGGAGTAACTTCTTCAGTTGCTCCGTGATAATGTTAGTGACCATAAAAGTTTGAAACAATACAGTTTATTTTGGGAATCATGAAAAATGAACTGAAAAAATATATGAAGTTAAATTTTTTACTTTAACTTTTTACTCACGAAATAATTTTATGGTGTAATCACATTACATGTCTGAGAATATCTCAAGAATATTGGATCGAAGTTTCTTTTCTAATGGTATGGCGGATGGGGGCTAGGCGAGAATTTACCGTCACAACCTAGCGAGGCAGCTAGCTAGCTCGTCGTGAAGAGCTGCGCCGCATCCCACACACACACACACATATATAGTCGTGTGACGCTCGTGACGCATTTCCTTTTCATCATTTCCATAGGATTATTCCATTTACGACCCGTCCAAAAAAAGGTTTCACTTTAATAATTTACTTTCTGGCACATACGGTTCTTGCTTCAGCTAAATATTTACCAATCCTTGTTTGTGATGGAGTTTGATAAGTTCTGAAAATTCTTCACTATCATGTCGGCTATGTAAGTGACGACAGCGGTGGTGATCCACTCACGAGGGTGTATTGATGCGTCTAGCCACACCGCGGAGTTGCTAGCATCGCTGTTTGATATTTTCAACATCTGAGTAAAAAGAATAGGATATAATTTTTGTTATATTTAAGCAGGCAATCCACCTGACGGTCAGTGGTCACTGCCTCCCATGGTCACAGCCAAGGCTATCTAGGTGCCAACTCTGAAGAAAATGGTTTAGCACCCTTTTGAAGACTGCCATATAGATACTTACGGATAAGAGGAAAAAACACTAAATATGAACTGTTGCTGCTATTCTGAGGACAACCTATTATGAATGAAATATCAAAACCATCAGAGATTACAAGAAAATTTGGAAATTAGGATGAGGTTCTTGCCTGACTGAAATTTAAGCCCTTTCAATTTTTTCATTAGTATAGTCGTCCGTGTGCAGAATATACCAAATTATATACATAAGAAAAAAATCTACATTAAAAAAAAATTAATTATTAAGTAAATTCAAATACTTTGATGTCGCGGCCTTCCACTGACTTTCCAATAACAGACACTGTGCAAATCGCAGGATAATCCCTCTCCAGTTCATCTATGAATTCATATATGACATTCAATCTATGATATTTTTTCCAATCCATCAGTTTCACTGTAATCATAATTACTTAACTTATTAATGCTCAACTTGTGAAATTAGAAAGTAACTAGTAAAACTATTTACTTCGTGGCCGAGTGGTTTGTATGCCGGGTTTCATGGTGTCGCCGACTCGAGAGGTCCCGGGTTCAAATCCCGGTGAGGGCAGATGTTTGTGTGATGAACACGAGCATTTGTACTCCAGTCATGGATATTTAATATGCATTTCTATATAAATATATTTATATATGTACTGTATATGTTTTTTATACGTTACCCTAGCCACGGTAATATTAGATAATATTACCGTGCCCTAGCATCCCATAACACACGCCTTACAGTGCTTACTTGGGGCTAGGCTAATTGGTGTGAGTGTTGGAAATATTTATTTATTTATTTAGTTATTTGTTTTACCTTTTCGTTTCTTCGGTTTTTGTGTTGGTACTATTTGCTTTATATATTTTTGTATTATTCCGTTAGAAATACATTTTCCTAGAATAAGAAAAAAATGGTAACCTGTATTTATTAAGATAAAATAATCTACATTAGAATAAACACTAACATTCAACAGTCTTTTATTTTATTGTAGAAAGCTTTACACAACTTTTTTTTTCATTAATTTGGGTATATTATACAGAAATGATTCGACGAAATGATGATAGGTACTTGGTAAACACATATAGTTGATTAAAACTATTCTAAAGTTGGTATGGCTGATACTGCCATTCTTTTATGTAAAAACGGTAACAGGTACTTAATTCCATTATATGTAATTGAATTTCGGGGTAATTTGTAGGGGGGGTGGAGGGGGGGCTCCCCCCGACCCCCCTGCCATAAAAGATTTTTGGCGGAAATGCAGTTTTTTTTTTTACCTAACCTAAAAATTCATTAAATCTGTTAAATGTAGGGGAATTTCAGGGGGATAGGTATTAGGGAAGACCCCTCAGAGGGAAGGGTAAATCCGGGGGGAGGGGGATCCCGGCGTTTTTTTACAGAAATGATAATTATAAAAAATTAGAGGGGTTTTAAAGGTAAAACTGTACTTCCAGGGCCTAGAGATGATATTTGATTTTTTTGTAGAAAAAGTCTCTATTAACGAATTTTTCTTTCTGGCGCTTCGCCGGCCGCTGCCGCGGCACGCTCGCTTCGCTCGCTCGGCTCGCGCGTTAAGGTCACAACACTAACCTAACCTAACCTAGTGTGAAGTATCACCACACAAGCGGCTCATTAGAGTCCGAAACTCGCACTACACTCGACTCTTCAGGCGAAGGGCCAGCAGAACTCGAGGCTTTGAGGATGCCATGGTAGTCAGACGACGTTAATATCAACAGGAGTACGAAAAAGCTCTCAACTGCGACGAACACAAACACTGACTGGCAGATCTCATTAATGGCGGTAAATTGTCACATTTTGACAATAGTACCAACATAATAAACTTATATTTACCATAGACAACGAGAAACATGTTATTTTTGCATAAAAAAATGGCAGCACTGATCAAAATTGCTGTCAAAATTGACTCATAACCTACAAAAATATTAATTTTCAATAATTTTTTTTTAGAGTTCTATTCGTTTCCGCCTAAAAAGATTTCGTGTACGTGTTTTTAATAGTTAACACTTTGCGTGACAAAAATTTCAGCTTGCAACTCAATTACATATAATGGAAAGCTGAGCCCGGTAACAAAATAGATGACTATTTTTGATAGATATTATTACCTATATGAATAGGTATGGCCCGCCCGATAGCAAGCATCCAGTTTGAAGAGGACAGATTCTGTAAATGTTTGCAAGAACTTACGAATGCAGGCGAATCCACGTACATTAACTATTTAGAAAATGAAATTAACTTCATGACTATCAAAAGTCAATCTCACCTTTGCCTTTTCCAAATTTAGTTTGTGTACCGTTTTCCGTTTTTATTGCCACCGTACTTGTATCGTCATCATCTTCTTCTTCGGAAAACGGTATATGTTTCTTCAAAACGCTAGCCACTTTATGTGGCTTTGGGATTGTTATCACGTTCATAATTTATAGATTGATAATTTTCTGTTTATATGTATAATTATCGAAATTTAAAATATGCTAATACTGTGTATTACAAAGTAAGCGTATTATAAGTAATTGCTTTATTCAAAATATGAAGAAATTGATTAAAAGAAAAATAAATAATTCCTAAGCGAGCTATTTGTGATTATTACGTTAATGCTATTTACACTAATCATCAAATTACACATTTGTTTAAATTGCACTTATTTCATTTTGATAAATATAAGACACTGTAATTTAAAATAATTAAACAGTTTTTTAATACATTTCCAAAATAAGGTACTTGATGGACGATATAATGTCAAGTGACATTGGCTCACATTGACATTTCATTGAGTGCTCTTGAGTGAGAGTAGGGCATAAATAATTAGGCACAGGTCATAAAGTACATAATTACATCTATGTCCATGGTACATATCATGTATGTTTACTGTATCTTCTTATCATCAAAATTATCATTTTTATATAATTTTGACAAATTATGAATTGTATTGTAAGTAAATAAATAAATATTTCCAGCACTAACACCAATTAGCCTAGCCCCAAAGTAAGCACTGTAAGACTTGTGTTATGGGATACTAGGGTAACGGATAGAATACATATATAAGTATTTTTATATAAAAATACAAACATATTAAACATCCATGACTGGAATACGAATGCTCGTATTCATCACACAAACATCTGCCCCCACCGGGATTCGAACCTCTCGAGTCGGCGACACCATGAAACCCGGCATACAAACCACTCGGCCACGGAGGTCGTCATATATATATTGATATTTTGGTTTATAGTTTCATCATTTAGTAGGTTGTAGGTATTTTTTTTATTCTTTAGTGGCTCGTATTCTATCGCCGTGCCATTTGTTTCCAACAACCGTAGGTACTAGTAGAGAATAGTCATGGCATTAAGTACTCCATTTACTGCTTCTAATATTAAATGACTGTATTATAATAAAAAAAATCTAAAGCTGCCCTGTAGCCAGAGTTAATGAAATACTAAATGAATACATTTCCTTTTTTATTTTGCTTTATAAAATTATATTAATATAGGTAGGAGTATAATGTTTAAATAAAAATATATGTAAAATCTAGTAGGTATTGTCAAGACGAGTTTTCATTTTCAACTAAAAGTTACAACCGTTCGCATTGTCGACTGTCGCGAACTCGTCCAATTAAATCAGACGCGTCGGCAACGTGAATAAATTCGTGCCCGGATTAGAAAACCGCGCGCGGCAGAAAACTCGACGGTGCCGCACCGCATTGTCGCGGTCGCGGGCAATCACGCGGCGTTATGCCACCTCCGCACTATTCCGGATACGGATAGCGATATCGCTCAAACCTCATGCTTACACTTTGATGGAATGACATGACACTAATGTATTACAATTATTATACCAGACACTGTACAAATAAATACATTTGTTTTAATCTTTCATTGTTACTAATTTTATAGTTATTAGCGGATTGCTACCAATGTACCTTGCAACAATGCTGAGATAGCGGGGACTCAGACAAATAAGGTACATGGTAGCAATCCCGTTAATAACTGTTAACTGTAACATAAATGTTGAAAGATAAATGAGCTGTTTTCACCACTGAATTAGTTAATAATATTAAATGCGCTTTAGGATTTCGATTTGTTAGAAATATTACACATCTAGCTGCCTTGGTTTGGCTATGATTCATGCCCTGCATTTACCAATGAGGACATTAGAAGTATTGAGATTACAGTACAAAGATACCATCCAGATTCTTAATGTTCACATTGTTTGAAGTGGATTTCCTGCAAAAAATATTTAATATAAACCAACCCAAAAAAGAAAAAATCAGCCAAATAGGTACGTAGATACTCCGTCAGTCATAAATACTCGGAACAATAACTTTGTTCTGAGGTAATACATGTGGCATTTGATTCTGAATTTGTATATTTTTAAAAATTAAGAAAGAGGCGGTACAGATTATAAACTTAAGTGGGTAAACATTGAAAAAGCGACTAATAACAATAATTTAATTGTTAGAAAACCAACATAATGTGATTTTTTTTTCCGAATACTACCGTCAACTTTTCCTGTGTCCCGCTCCGTTCCGGTGCGGACGCAGACAGAGTTGCTAATTGCGAGCAAATGAGATTGATTGAAACCGAACGACGGACTGCGAGCTGTGGCTGCGGCCCAGTCAAAATGCTCGTCTAAATAATTTGACGCAGGACAGTTCAACTATAAAAAACGGGAAAAGTGCGAGTCGAACTCGCGCATGAAGGATTCCTTATAACAAACCGCACCAGACAGACAGACGACAAAGTGTCAGCAATAGGGTTCCATTTATGGATGCAACGATGCGGCTATTACGACACCAATACGAATGAAGAATACATCGTTGTGGCACAATGCGATAACGAATTACGTTACGAATGCACTAGGATTTTAGTTTCATAGCATTTTATTGAATTTATTCAAAGTTTTGTTTGTATCACTTTGTCTGTTATTATATAAATATTAAGATTTAGTAAAAAAAATGCATTTTTAACTTATTTCATTTTATAATTAGATTTTTTTGATACCCGGTTGTTTTCAAGATTCACCTTATTATACGTACGTATGGTTTTCACATATTTTGTTATTGTTGTATATTTAGATGTACAAACAAAACCCTCCATCTGATGCAGTCAAATAAGATATCAAATCAATGCAAAATATCATGAATTCAATAAAGTACAAAAAAGTTGATTAACATTCAAATCACGCTGCAACCATAACAATGAATCAACGGGGAATCGAACCGTTACGCTCCAAGATTATCCATAAACTTGACTGTGGAATGGAAAGTTAATCTAGTTATCATGGTGGGGACACAGGTTCGGTTCGCAACGTAATTAACGATGCCGGCACTACGCTAGTGGGGAGTTGGATAATTGAAATGTACCACATCTTCCTTTAGAAATGTTTACTTTTTGCTCGCACTTGGTATATAGTAAAGTTAATAATAGTAATTGGAGTACTGAGTGAAACGAAAATCGGCGATTGTTGACCCAATGTAAAAGTAATTTTCATTAATGAACGGGACCTTTTTATTTGAGTTTGGAGCTCTATAGGCGTTTGCCATTCTGTTTCGATAAATACACCTAAAAAAAATGAGTAGTTCTCTGTAAACATGACTAAACACGTTGGCGTGTGGACAGCTGGGTGCCTGCTAGTTGTCACCAGTGGACATCGAGCAGTCACCTTACTTAAGGGAGTTGTTGAAGCAGATTCATGTAAGTGGGCCAGTCGTGCTCATGCTTTCGGATCCCATATCTCCAATTCAAGAAAATCACAATAGCAAAATTTGTAAGTGCATTAAGTACCTACTTGTGAAACCTTTATGCAAAGAGTGTCTATATAAAAACGGATTTGGCGACGAGTCAGTCACGATGTAATCGCAAACACGAAATGAAGAAGTTCACGATTCGTCGAATGTATACTTTAATTCTACATTATCATGGTATCGATCAACGTTAAAGAAACAATCGTATATCAATGGTGTTTCAATAGTTTTGAATTTAGCATTGTGATTGTTGTGTCTTGTTATTTTCCTGCAACACTAAAACATATTTATATTACCCTACTCGTTTATGTTGTCAACTACATATAAGTTAGCATATTATATTTTTGTTCAAAAAGCGATAGTATAGAACCACTATTGGGACACGATTTTTAAGTCAGCTTAGCAGAATCGACACTCAGATTAAATAGAGTCTAAACATCATTTGAACAACGTACACAAAGCCACGGTGCAGGCTAGTGTGGCAATCCGGATGGCTAATGATGAAGTCCTTTTGACCAATTACGTGGGTAAAGGCCGCCACGCCGTGTCGCCCTGTGCGTTGGCGTTCGGTTAATTGATGAAGCCTAAAGACCTAGTAGTATTGTACTGAATCGGAAGTAGATATAATTAGATTGAGTATGGATTGACATTCTGCATATTTAATTAAGTTTCAAAAGCATTATTTTACTTTTTTTTTTGTTATTATACAAGGTGCATTATTTTCCCACACCATAGTGATATTAGTCCGATAGTATTAAATGAGAGAGTGATAATACAGAGTTCGTAAGAATTTCACTTTATTAGGTTTTGAAAGGAGCTGATGCGTCAGAAAAGTATACCGCTCCAACACAGACCCAGATTGAAGTAGACGCCGCACTTACTTAAAATTGTATGAAAATCGAGCTTGGCAGATTTTGTGTACTCCTGAGAACAAATAAGTGGTGAAAAAGCATGGGCCCCGGTCACCACCGTTTTTACAGTACTCGGCGTCAAAAAAATCGCACCTCCGCGAAAATAACTTTCAAGCGTTATTATAACCCATAACACACGTATTACCCCTAATAATATTTATGTGATTTCAAAGCCCATTAAATTACCCTAAAAACCCCATTTCATTTCATTAAAAAAACTAGATACCAGAAATGTGACTTTAAAAAAAATTAATGCCAATTTTGCTCTGCTTGAAAGTTATTTTCGCGGAGGTGCGATTTTTTTGACGCCGACGACGGTGACGCGATGAAATAAATTAGCGGAAAAGAAAAACCCCTTTACAAGTACTTACACTGGTGTTATCTATTTAGATATATGTTTGTGCGCTCCAACCATCCTCATCCTTCCGGCCCGATTCTAATTCCCTACATCTTTATGCCAATTCATAACATCAAATAAAGCAATTAAAATAATTATAGTATATTATTTGTCAGTTTTAAGCAAATATCTGCTAAATTCATATATCTAAGCCATCCGGATAGCGGTAGTGAAAGTTCAAATTCTGTCTGAAGCCTGGAGCCAGTGAAATTTCTAAATAAAAAATTTCTTAGATTTATGGTTTCCACCACCGGACGACCGGGCGCGGCCAGGGCTTTCACCCTTGTGTTCTCGAAGTTCCTCTTATTCGCATGAAGCGATTTGCTTCCGCTTTCATTATGCGAACGGATAGGGCGTGGAACTCTT